GGGGAGGCCCGGTCCAGCCACAGCTGCCATCCTTAGACAGCGAGTCTAGCTAGGGAGACAGAACAGAGGGACCCCAGTGAGTGTGCAGGTCCCTGAAATCCTGGCTCTGCCACTGCCTGGCTCGGGGCCCGCCTCTCTGAGCCTCAGTTTCCCTGTCTGTGAAGTGGAGACAAATGACCCACCTCCCTGAGCTGCTGCAGGGAGTGGAGCGAGAGTCTGGAGGTGCCAGGAGGGCTGGGGAGCAGCCTCCCTGAGCTTGTTTCCCCACCTGGAAACTAGTCCCTGTCACAGGGGGGAGGTGTCACCAGGGCTCTGTAAGCTGAGCCACGGCCCAAGGGGGCAGCTTCTTGTGCCCTTCCTGATGATTCTGGTGGATTCCTGGCCCTGGAGAACTTGCCTGCCAGGGCGGGAAGAGCAGAGGCTCTGAGAGGAGGGGAAGGGGAGGTGTTAATGGACCCCGGAGATGTTCCTCCTGGACGCTGGGGGCGTCTGCCTCAAGTTAAACGGCCGCCTGCTGGGGAGGCTTGCACTTGGTGGGTTCTTGACCTGCCAGGGCGTGCGCAGATGACACGGAAGTCTACAGTGGTCTGTGGAGCGTGCTAAAGGTCCCGCCTTCACCGCTAAGCACAGAAAACCCACATATGGACCTTGTATTTTCAACCTTAAAAGAGCAGTACCGTTCCTGCTGTGAACACGCATGTCCATTCAGTGCGCGTGTTTATACCTGTTAGGTCAGATCACCATTAAGACAAGAGGATGTGCGTTTCACGTGTGATCAAGGTTGTGTATAAAGCAGCTGTCCATCTTAAATGTGATTTTGAACAGTACTTTATATCGCAAAAGGAGTACATACCTGTAGGAAACATTTGGACAATTCTGAAAAGTACAAAATAAAGTCCACAGCTCCCGGCCCGAGCCAGAGCCCTGGAGCCTGCCCTCTGACCGCCCTCCCTGCCATGTCCGCCGTGTGGGCTGGACCTGGACCTGGGCTGACCGCTGACCTCAGGACCTGGCACTTCGGGATGTTTTTCATGAGAGACAGCTGCCCAGAGGAGGCCAGGCCCAGCAGCTGCCGTCTGTCTGGAGCCAGGTGGCTTCAGTTAACGCTCAAGTCCCCCTGGGAGGGGTCTCGGCATGGCTGTAGACGGGCGGGGCCACGCGGGGGCCACGGAGCGTGCTCCGGGCACTGGGGTAGAGGGTGCTGCTGGAGACTCGGTCATCAGAGGTGTTCTCAATCCAGCGTCCCAAGAGACCCCAGCCCAGGTAGCAGGGGATCCTTTGGGGATCAGCTCGTTTGTTTGGCCTTTGAGTTGGGTCTGGATGGACAGCCAGGACTGAGGGCGCAGACGGGCACACAGAACGTGGGGTGACGAGGTCAGGGATGTTCCAGAGGTCACCTGGACGGGGAGGGAGGATGACCAGGGCTCCGGCTGGGGTCTCCACGTGGGGGGCTGATGGCAAAGCCAGGGGCTCTTCTGCTCCTCCCCCGCTGCCGCTGGTGGAACCCTGGCTTGGAGGGAGCGAAGTGTTCCCAGCTTCATGCTTCCAGGTGTGGTGGCCTGACCCGTCCCAACTCCAGGACCTTCCATCAGAGCCCAGCCAGCGAGTGCTTCTGGGGAGGGAGCAGAGGCCCCAGGCCCCCCACCCCACCCTGTCCCCTGTCCCCGTCTGGGCTCTGCTACGAGCTTCACGCTCCCCTGCCGGAGAAGCAAAGTGGAACGTGTCTCTTTTTCAATTATAGTAGGTGCCCGCACCTATGATCACAGTGACATGCTGTTCCACTGCTGTGGAAGCCTCGGGGAGTGGGGGCCAGTGTGCAGAAGGGTGTCTAGGCAGGATTCTCCAGACTCCGGAGCCTCCCCGAGAGCTGCTGCCCCCCTCCCACGGACAATGCCAGCTCTGCCCAGAGTGGGCTGGGGGCTGGTGCCAGGCCGGCCCCCCTGCGGGGCCCAGAGTGAATGGCGCTGAAAGCTGAGAGAAGCAGCCCTTGGGCAGGACCGGACCCCCGGGGAGGGAGATGAGTGTCCCAGTGCGTAACCATCCCGGTTCCTTGTTCCTGAGCCCCAAGCCGGGCTCCTGGTGCCACCATAGCTCCTTCAATCACCCCAGCAGCCTTGTGGGGGGGGGGGGTTCTGGCCTCATTCCCATTGTACAGATGCAGAAACTGAGGCTGGAAGTCAGGGATTGACTGGGTACCATCACTCTGAGATGGGGGGATCCCTGCTGGAAGGAAGGGAGGGAATGGGATGGGGAGAAGGGCGCATCGAAAATGCAGAGGAACGAAGCCCCTTCCAGGCCTGCCACCTCCACCAGGTCATGGGCGGAGTAGTCAGTGAGAGCCTGCCCGCCCAGGGCACACACAGTGGCTGAACCTCACAGCATCCCTGCGGATGAGGTGCGTTCACCCCAAATTGCAGATGACATTTCGGAGGCTCAGGCAGGCTGCATGAGGGGTCCAGGGCCACACAGCTGTCTGAGGTCACAGCCCCCCGGGGCAGTGGCTCTCCCAGGACACTGGGCCAAGGTGAGCTCCCCTCTGCTCAGCAGTACCCGGGTGGCAGTGTGGCCCAGTGAATGCTCCACAGGCCGTGGACTCAGAGCTGGACAGAGGCCAGTCTTCTCACACTGTGTGACCTCTCTGAACCTCAATCTCCTTTTCTGAAACCCGAGGGTGGTGACGAGTGTCAGTCTTCTCGGAAGGATCAACGGTGTATTGCCTGTAACGCCCCGGCTCAGCACCAGCCCCCATAAGGCCATGGCAGGGATCCTAGAGACCGGGGGGCCATGGGAATATGAAGAGAAATGGGAGCTGGTCAGGACGTTGAGGCTCAGAGAAGGAAAGAGACTTGTCCAAGCTCACCCAGCACTGGCGGCTGAGGTGGGACTCACAGTCTCCCCACGGCGTGACGGTGCTGGGAGCTCTTACGCTTTCTTGGATCACAAGCCCCTTGAGAAGTGGGAGAAAGCCTCAGGCTCTCCCAGAAAATGCTCCCTTGACACGTGCAGCCCTCAGGGGGTCCCGCACCCAGCTCCTCCTCCCCACATTTCGTCCTGCGGGTGATGAGAACCCGGGGTCCCTTGGGAGTGTCCCCATAGCTTGGGCCTTTGTCGTTCACTTTCAAGGAAAGAGAGTTTGTTTTCTCCACGAGGCCTCGGGCCACCCCCTCTGCCCCGCCTCCTGCGCCCGGGGTCCTGCGCTGAGTCCCGTGCTTCTCCTGCAGGGGATGGCTACTACCTGGCCGTGGGCGGGACTGTGGCCCAGCACAACTGGTCCCACATCACCACGGTGCTGCAGGACTGGAGGTTCCGGTGCCAGCTCGTCGACAGCTCCGAGGACCTGGGCCTGATCAGCGTCCAGGGCCCAGCCAGGTGAGGAGAGGGCGGGGAGCCAGGCACCGGGGTGCACCTGGGCCCTGGGCCCTTGGCCCTCTATCTGGGGCCCGGGGCAGAACCACTTACTGCTTCAGAATGGGGCATTGTGGTCAGTAAGCTCAACGTGCCAGCGACCTCAGAGGGGCCACGGCAGAAAGACGCTTTTCGGAGCACTAGAATACAGAAAAGCCCTTAATAAAAGACTTAGACTGAACCTTACTGTGGATCAGCATGTGAGGATTCAGTGGTCACGGAAGGGCCAACGAGGGTGTCTCCGGACAGCTGATGCAGACTAAGAATCATGTACGCCATCTCTAGGTGGGCAGAGCCAGACTGGGGCTCCCCGTGCTACCCGGGCTCCGAATAATGCTCTACACCAAGAGGTCGCCTGCTGCTCCCTAAACACCCCCACTGACTAGGTCTACAGACGATCATTCCCTCCTTAATTCATTCTATGAGCGTTTACTGAGCTGTGTTCCCACCCATGAGGAATCGGCTTCTGGAAAGCCCTCGGATTCTAGCTTGTGCGTGGAGCCACACGACCGTCTTAGGCAAAGGGGCGCCTGAGCAGCTGTGCACGCTGGAAAGATCCCTCTGGCTGCGGTTCGGAGAGGGGCCGGGGGGATGGGGAGAAGACGGAAAGCACAGCGTGTTAACATCGACCAGTCAGGGGCCTGGGATGCGCCAACATCTCCTCCAATCCTGATCACAGCCCTTTGAGGTGGTCAGTATTTTTATTCTTATTGGTTAAGAAGAGAGGACGGTGCATCTCCGGCCAGGTTATCCCAAAGCTGACGCTTAGATGAAGCAATGCCGTGTCCACGGGACATCCCTGTCAGCCCAGGGTCATGCCAGGATCCCCAGCCAGTGCACTCAGACCCCGCCACAGGGTCCATTTTCCCTGGTTCTTTGGAGCTGACCAAGCCTGCAGCACCCCAGCTGGGTCCTGGACTGGCGGACCTCCCCTCCCGGCCGGAGTTGTAGCTGGCTCTGCGCGTGCATCGTCTCGCACAGAGGCACACGGCACACACGTGGTACGTGCTCTCTGAATCACGGCTGGTTGTGTACCTTAACCATCAAGTGTTGGACTTCAGGCTTCTCATGAAATATTTATTTATTAGGGGGCCCTTGGAGGGGACACTGTGAGAAATGAGGGGTCAAGGCTTGGAGCTCTCTGAAGGGACAGTGTTTTGGGCAGAGGAGGCAGCAGGTGCAAAGGCCCTGTGGCAGGAGGTAAAGCAGTGAGGCCAGGGCCATAGGAGACGTGCTCAGAGGGCAATGGAGGCGAGAACCTACAGGTGCAGAGGCTGCTCCTCCGGGAGAGGGAACTGAGCAGAAGAAGGGCTTTAACGGGGTCTCTGATTCTGGGCCAGGGAGTAGGAGGCCGGCAGGTATGAGGAGCCTCAGGGGCCAGGTGAAGCAGGGATCCTGAGCGGAGAGTGATGAGCCGTGTCCAGGTGGTCAAGGGATGCGGTGTGTGGGGTTCCTCTCCCCACACACTGACCTCCACACCTCTGGGCTGAATGGGGGTGGGCGTCCTGGCCTTCTGAGCTCGAGGCCATCCTCGGAAGCCTCGGCTTCATTGCCACTGAGACCTTGGCCAGGGAGTGGGCCATTTTTGGTTTGGTGGTGGGGGTGAGTGGGCAGGGGGGGGAGGGGGTACCAGACAGACAGATCAAGGTGTGGCCCCGGGAGGACAGGCCAGCCTCTTCCAGCCTCATTAGAAGCTGCTCAAGGACGGTGGCAAGTGACGGCTGCCAGGGCAGGAAGACGAGCTCTCTTCCTCCTGGTGACTTCTTAGCTTTTCTCCCCCAAATTGTCCTCTCGCTCTTTCAAAAATAACCCAAAGTTTCTTGTATGAATAATAATGTCACCAGCACCGCTGACAAGGGCTAAACTTTCTGCTGAACTTTCTGGAAACATTCCATAATGGGTGGTCCAGCACAGTAGCCACTAAGCTGTATGTGGCCACTGAGGCCTTGAAATGTGGCGGTGAGACAGAATGTTTTACCTTAATTAACTTAAGCTCAAGAGGCCACACGTGACTAGGGGAGACACAGCGGGGAACAGTGATTGCCATTGTAGTTGTTAGTGCCACGGCGCTTGGCGTGTGCTTTCTGGTGGCTGCCCCCTCACAAGGGCCCCATGAGGTGGCATCGCTGACCCTCCTGGAGCGGACGAGGGGACCGAGGCGAGGCTGGGGTGGGAGTGAGTAAAGGAAGCAGGACCTGAACCTGGTCTCTGACCGGAGCCGGTGCCCTCTGGTGCTACCCACTGCCCCTTGGCAGAGGGACAGCCTCCTGCACCCCGGCCCGTGCTTGGCAGACCTGCCTGCCCAGCTTGGTGCCCGAGCTGGGGTACCCCTGGCACTGCTAAGGCCACGCTGGCCCCGGGTGGCAGCTCCAGCCTCCTTCCTCCTTCCCCTGCTGGGAAGACCAGGGAGCAGCCCTGGCCCCATCCGCCCAGGGCCGCAGAGAGGATGGGCTTCTTAAGGACTGGGTGTGGGTTCTCCGGGGGCTGGCACCACGTGGGTGCCGGGGTGTTACATAAGGATCTTGACACACTGCAGCACGCTGGGCACCTCAGGCAGGCGTGGGCGGGCAGCTCCCGGCACCGTGGGGCTGGGGATTAGCCTCAGAAGCGTTTCTGGGCACTGGCTGGGACCCCCGCGAGGCAGAAATGGTGGGGCTGTCTCCTGCCAATGGGGAGCTGGCCCTGCAGTGCAAAGCCAGCCCATTTTCAATCAGCCCTATTTACCAGTTACCCTCTCTGTGCCAGGCACAGCGGCCCTGTTGTCACGGAGCTCCTGGTTCAGTGGGGGCAAGTATCAATACAACCAGTGTGATAGGTACCCTGGCAGGAGACATATCAGGGCTGTGAGCTCAGACCAGGGGCAGTGTGAGGTT